ACCGCCGCGCTGGGGGCGTCCCGGCCGCGCGGTGCCCGCTCTCCAGAGCTGGCCGCCGGGCCCAGCCTGGGTGCCGCGCTGGCCGCAGCGTTGCTGCACCGACGTCTTCAGGAGGAGCCTGAGAGATGAGCTGTCCGCCGCCTCTCCTCGCTGCGGGGGGTTATCCCTGCCCGCCGACTTGGGGACGCTCGTGCCTACGAGGCTGCAGAGCGGCTCCTCGCTCTCCCTGTGGCTGGGCAGAAGCAGAATTACACGTTTCTGATGTCAAACAGATCTCTCCCTTTAATGCGCTAGTACTTTTTGAGCAGTTTTTACCATGTTTACTGAGCTGCAGGTCTGTGCTGACGCTGACTCATCTTTTGATGAGCAACACACCAAAATCCTTCAGCACCTTTATTGTACTTATCTCTGAGAGTCCCGGGTGTTTATCTGACCCACTCCTCCCTTGCTAAGGTTTATTCTGCGACTGCTGACAGCAGCCTTTTCAGGTCCTGGCTGCGCTAGAGGGGGTGGACGGGAGGCTGTGCACGGGGGCTGTCTGTCACATGCACCAGCGGGGCTGGATCTCAGCCTCGCCTAGGCAGCTGTGGGGGTGCCCAGCGCTGCCCGGCCCCCAAGCTGCTGGAGACGCTGCCCGTGGAGAACCGGGAGAAGGTCCCCGGGCTGTGCGAAGGGAGGGTGCCTGAGGGGCACGGGCGCTGCAGAGCCGTGCGCTTTGGGGGCAGTGCGTGGAGCGGGGTTGGGTCGCATGGTGCGCGAGCCCTGGCTGCTGCAGGCTGCGGATCTCTGGGCTAGGGTCAGTGCCTGCAAGACAAATGCAGCTCCTGCAGTGGTACTCGACCCCGGCACAGGGCGGGCAAGGGGAGCCAGGTGGGTCTCGGCTCTTCCTGGGGCCTGGGCAGACCGTGCCAGCAGACCCTTGTCTCCCTGCTTTGGGAGCGCCTGCTCGGTCCCAGGTCAGGGCAGCGCAGGGCTGATGTTCCTCATGCTGCGCAGCTTCCGGGTCACCCGACTGTGGAGCGGTGTCAGGGGCTGCGCTTGGGAGAGCGGGCCTGGCCTCCCTGGAGCTGCAGGCACTCCTGGCCTGTTTACAGGGAGTCTTTCCATGGTAACTCACAGCCAGACGCGTCTGAGGCTTTCCAGACTGCGTGTCGGGCTGAGCCGGCCCTTGGCTCAGCTCCTGCTGGTGGCTGGGGGGGGCTGAGAGCTGAGCCTGGGGCCCAGCTCCTCGTCACATCCCCTCCCTCTGGTCACTCGAGTCCAGCCACCTCTCTGAAGGGAGCAGCTGAGCAGAAACAAGCCATTTGCTCTCCTGGGCTGGCTTTTCTTGCTGTCCCAGTGCCCTGCCCACAGGAGGGGTGCTGGGGGACCTGGGTTGGGGGTTCCCTATCTCCCCCCACAGCTGGGGGAGCATTGCCCCTTCCTAGGCTGCCCCCCTCTCCCTGCCGCTGGGCTGGGCCCCACGCAGGCTCCTTCCTGGGCTGGGCTGCATCCCCCCAGCCTGGCAGGCTCTGGGGCCCTTCCACCCCCAGCGCACGCCTGCGAGGGCTCGGTTATGACGTGCGTCTCTCCCCACAGGCCTACAACATTCATGTGAACGGTGTGTTGCACTGCCGAGTGCGGTACAGCCAGCTCCTGGGGCTGCATGAGCAGGTAGGGAGCCCCGAGGGGGCTGGCTGGGGCCGGCCCCTGGCTGGGGTTGAGGCACTGCGGCAGATGAGCCTCCCCTCGGGGCAGCTCTGCTGGGCCTTGTAGCGCTCGCTGTGTTCCTCGCAGGCGAGGTGCTGGACCCTGCGGTGCCGGGGCCCAGCCTGGCAGCCTGGTGGGTTGGCCACCCTCAGGCGCTGCGGTAACGCGCCAAGCGCTGCTGGAGAGCTGGAGGAGTCGGGCTGTGCGGTGGCTGCGAGTAGGCACGTGTTGTCCAGAGTTGGACTCTGCCTGAGCTGGAGCACGGGGCTGGGCGAGGGTCACTTTCTGGTCCTTGGCGTTGGGTGCGCACGTTCTCTCGTGCTCTGCGATGTCCTGTCTGAGTTCTTGCAAACTGCTAGGTTCCCATTTGGATGGGGAAGGGGTCGTGAACTCTCTGCTCCCCTTGTCGGGGCCCCAGAAACTGCTGGGAAGGGAGAGTCAGAGCAGTTGCCCTCTCCCTGGCAGCTCTCGTAGCACTGTCCTGTCTTTCCAGTTAAGGAAAGAGTATGGCGCTAATGTGGTCCCAGCCTTTCCTCCAAAGAAGATCTTCACCCTCACCCCAGCAGAGGTAGAGCAACGACGGGAACAGCTGGAGAAGTACATGCAGGCTGGTAAGCTGCCAGTGCCCCATGCCCCTCTCTGTGTGTTGAGGCTCAACGCCTGCTTCCCTGTCAGAGTTGCTCAGGGCACTGCCTGGATTACCATGCCCATGGCCCAGCTGTCTTCCAGACCTGGATTTGACCTGTTCCTCCCCACAAAAGCTCAGTTTGCTGTGGCCCATCTTGACGTCCCCAGTCTTGCTCAGGTAATAGCTGGCCTTCTCCACTGGATGTCAGCCAGCAAGTAGTACGAGCAGGGCTGCTTCTCTGTCCCCAGCCCTTCCCTTTCCCCATGCTGGCAAGGGTGGGGACCTGCTGATGCCTCCAGGTCCAGGGAATCCATAGCTGTCTGTGTGCACACCCTACACACACATACACACACACACACACACACACACACACACACACACGCTCGCTCTCTCTCACGTTCGGTCTGGGTACAAAGTCAGAGGGACTGTGGAGTAGATGGGAAGGGGCGGGGACCCCCATTCCCATGTGTTGCCTGACTCCTTGTCCACTTTCCATCATCCAGTGCGGCAGGACCCAACGCTGGGAGGCAGTGAGACCTTCAACAGCTTCCTGCGCAAGGCCCAGCAGGTGAGGAGGGGGGGGTGGGAGCTGCTGGATGTGGTGGGGGCTGCTGGGGTAGCCTGTGTGGGGTGAGTGCAGATCACCTAGGCTGGAGTGGCGTGTGGCAGAGCCCTTGGACTGCAGGGCAATCTGAGCAGGGTGGGGTAGTCTATGGTGGATGGGGCCAGGCTGCTAATCCTGTTACTCTTTTTAGGAGACGCAGCAGATACCCACAGAGGAGGTGGTGCTGGAAGTGCTGCTCTCCAATGGCCAGAAGGTCAAGGTCACCATCCTTACCTCGGACCAGACGGAGGATGTCCTTGAGGTGCCAAAACTCTTGTGCTGGCCAGAACTAACCCATCCTGCCAAGCCTGTGACTTCCTACGTTTGCAGGATGTGTCCCCTCCCAGCCTGGCAAGCCATGAGGCAGCCCCCTCACCCTCTCTACCTTAGCCTCACCCCAGAGCAAGGATTGTTTTGGGGACCGGGAAGCTGTGGGGCTGGTTACGGTATGCCTGTGCCTCTTCCTGGGTCCAGCTCCATGTTGGGAGGTCCCCAGTTGTTTCATGGTGGCAGTGATTCCCCTGATCCTGCTTGTCCACTTGCACCCCCTGCCCTGGCCCCCAGCTCAGCTGAGGCCCTGGCTTCCTGCTGGTGGGAACCCTGCCGATAATGCACGCAGACCGGATCCTGCCATGTGGCTCCTGGGTGAGGTCACGGAGGCAGTGGGAAGTGGTGACTTCCTGCTCTCACCCCCAGGCTGTGGCCTCCAAGCTGGATCTGCCTGATGACCTGGTTGGCTACTTCAGCCTCTTCCTGGTGAGAGAGACTAAGGACGGAGCTTTCTCCTGTGAGTAGAGTGTGTTGAGGGCAGCCATGCAAGGGCTGTGGCGAGGCAGCTGCCCTGGGAGTGGGAGAGCTGTGCCCGAGAGCTGTGTTCTTGGACCAGGTGGCCCTGCTCCGGGCGGTGGGGGGCTGGCGGGCTCCCCCTGCTCTGAACCACTGCTGAGCTGCCTTTTCCCTGCAGTTGTGCGGAAGCTGCAGGAGTTCGAGCTGCCATACGTATCTGTCACCAGCCTGCACAACCCTGAGTTCAGGATCATTCTGCGCAAGAGGTGAGCTGCAGGGCCAGAGGGGCAGCAACTGCTGGAGCAGTGGGATCATATCCAGGGTCTCCCTGCTTTGCAGAGGAGACAGCCCCTTCCCTCCTGCCATCACAGCCCATGGGACGCTTTGACCGCCAGGAACGTGCCTGGCTGTTCCCAGTAGTGACACCTGGGGCTGGGCTGCCCTCTCTGGTGGGCTTGTTTCTACTTTCTCAGAGGCAGCACTTCTTCCTGCTGGCAGCTAATGGGGAGGAGAGGAGCATGGCTAGCTGGAGACTACCCAGAGGGAGCTGGCCATGAGAGCCAGCCCAGCTGCTTTTCCCAGCATGTGAGGTGTTATTCACCTCACTGCTGTTAGGAGAGGGAGGATGAGCTGACCTATGTGGTTTCCTTCTAGCTACTGGGACTCCTCCTATGATGATGATGTAATGGAGCATCGTGTGGGGTTGAACTTGCTGTATGCCCAGGTGAGTTGGTGCAGCCCAGCTGGCAGGAAAAGAGCACTGCATCCCTCAGCTACCGCTGTGCAGGGTCTTTGGGCCCAGCCACTCACCAGGCTCTGCTTGTTGGCAGACGGTGTCGGACATTGAGCACGGATGGATCCTTGTCAACAAGGAACAGCACCGGCAGCTCAAGTCCCTGCAGGAAAAAGTCTCCAAGAAGGAGGTAGGGGAGGGGGCGGTGCTGTGCCTGGAGCAGTCTGAGGCACCAGGCTGGCACTGGCACGGCTCCTGTGGGCACCTGTGGGGCCTGTTCCTAGCCTGGGAGTGCTGGGACTGAGGCAAGGTGGGAGCGTGGCTTTCTGTGCTGAGCTCGCCTGGCTCTGCCCACAGTTCGTACGCCTGGCGCAGACCCTGAAGTACTACGGCTATCTCAAGTTTGACCCCTGTGTCACCGACTTCCCTGAAAAGGGATGCCACGTCGTTGTTAGCGCTGGCAACAACGAGCTCAACTTCCAGGTGCGGCTGCCGAGCGAGCAAATCAAGGAAGGCAGCTTCAAGGTCACACGCATGCGGTGCTGGCGGGTCACGTCCTCGGTGAGTGCCACTCGCCTGCAGGGCCCTGGGAAGCGAGGAGGGCTGTTTGGGGGGGGGGGGTGTCTGTCAGGACCCTGCTGTGCAAGGCTGCTTTAGCAGCTCTCCCCAGGGAAGTCACTGGCTGTGTTGTCTGCGTCCAGCCCAGCTGGCCTGGGGCTGGTCTCAGTTCTGGTCTGGGGCTGAGTGAGGTCATTGGTACGAACGTGGTTTGAGAGGCTGCTGCTGTGAGAAGAAAAGACAGTGATGAAAGGCCAGTGCCGGTTGGGCAGGGGCTCTGGGGCAGACTGCCAGCCAGGCAACTCATGAGTGCAGGGGTCAGGGAAATCCTCTGAAAACCTCCAACCTTGGCATGTGTCCTTTCAGGTACCGATGAGCAATGGTCCCTCAGGGAGCAGCCCAGGGAAGTCAGAGGTGAAGCTGGAGCTGGCTTTTGAGTATCTAATGAGCAAGGACCGGCTGCAGTGGGTCACCATCACCAGCCCACAGGTAGGGCTGCCTGCGTGCCAGGCTGGCAGCAGGGAAGGGTGGGAGCAAGGGGGCAGCTCTGAGGGGGAGGCTGGTCTGGGCTCAGTGCAGGGTGGCAGGAGGGTGTGTGGAGCTGGGCTCCGACAGCCTTGTGATGCTTCTCTTGCAGGCCATCATGCTGAGCATCTGCCTGCAGTCCATGGTGGATGAGCTGATGGTGAAGAAAACAGGAGGCAGCATCCGCAAGGTGAGGGTTGGGGCTGGATGCGCTCTCT